GCCCTTGGGTTTCATTGCACGTGTGGTAACACCAAGAGCGTATCCCTAACGTTTTTGGTTTCGGAGCAGCGGCGGTTTTTTAGGAACACAGCACGGCGATCTTCGGTCGGCGCGGGCGGGTGGCGGCAGGCGACGACGTCGCGGAACGCGCGGCAGGCCGACAGTGTTACATTAACGGAGCCGTATATAATAAATAGGTAGAGAAAACAAATCAACCTTGACAACATTGTGCTTCGAATTGTACAATAAATGCGTCTGCTTAGGTTGAGTGTCCCTGCAGGGCACTGTCTCGTAAAAAGCAGCATGTTAAGCTGAAAAGGTTCGATTTTCGGGATAATTTGGCCCCGGACCTGGCATAGTGGCCTAATTTGGCCCCGGACCTGGCATAGTGGCCTAATTTGGCCCCGGACCTGGCATAGTTGCCTAATTTGGCCCCGGACCTGGCATAGTGGCCTAATTTGGCCCTGGACCTGGCATAGTGGCCTAATTTGGCCCTGGACCTGGCGTAGTGGCCTAATTCATCAACCTGCCAGCATAAAACTCATTACCATTCGCTAGGTCTAGTTGAGACCAATGTACGGATGTTCTCCCGTTGCTATTGATCTTTCTTACTTTTGGAAACAGCAAGGGGGGTCGCATCAAAACTCCCTCCCCCTATCGGTCCGCGTTATGAAAATGGCGAATCAGAACGAGGATTAATAAGATTGTGGAAGGAAATGGCGTGTAAGCGACCGGTGCAAGCAAACACCATGCGGTTTAAAACAATATAGCATCTAAAATTGCGTTGTTTGCCTATTAAAACTCCATGGCGCTGTCGCGCATGACAGCGGGGACGCTGGAGTCGAATATTTTCCGTCTTAAAATCGGACTCGTTTGACGAGCCGTCTCGCTTGTAGCCTGAGCGCTTCTCGAAAATACTTGTAGGCATGCAAAAGGGTCATGGTGACCTGGTGACCTAGTGGTCCGAACACCTGGTGGCCCGGTTTGTAGCAGACCTCTCAATCCTCGCCCTGATTCGCCATTTTCATAACGCAGACTGATCAGGCGATCAAGGGGGGAGGGGGGTCGATGCGGGGTTAAGTTCTTTCTCAGAAGTTAAGCTCCTGTCCCAAAGTGAAATAAATGGATCTTAGTGGAAAACATAAACACAAACAAACAAAACACGACACCCGCAATGAACACCCGCAAAAGCTACTCAACATTCGGGTGCGATTACGCGATCTACCGGAGAGCTGTCCTCAGAAAGCCTTCGGGAGTCGCATCGACCTCCCCCCTTTAAGGGGGAGGAGTAAGGGAGGAACGCAGTTACTTAAGAAAGGGGATGACTGGTACAGCCCTACTTGCCATGAGGAAAACGTAGCATATTTTTCCTCGAAAAGAATGCACGCAATCCATGAGGACAAGTTCTGAAGTGAGGTCCACTTGCACGCTGCCACTGTATCCCACAAACACGCCTTTTAATGGCAGGAGCCGATGCCGAAAACTGTCTGAAGAGGCAAGTTAAGTTGAAGACTCTCAGCAAGATTGGAAAAGCTGGAAAGCATCACATAATCATGCATGGCAGGCATGTTCACTAGGTGGCTGTTTGGGTTTGGACATGCGATGATGATGTTTAGTTCCCAAGCGATTTTGCCCACTTTGACAGCGCCGTACTCACCAGCTCCACACACACAACAGGGCGCGAAGTTGCTAGACCCGTCCTTGGTTATTGCCGATGGCACCATAACAATTGCTCGCAACCGATGGTCAGAATGAACATTGCGTTAGAAGACGCAGTTCTCAGCTGAGAAATAGGAAGTGCACACGATTCTATGGAAACACATGTATGTTCAGTATTACATAAGTTGGTCACCACAGACCCTGACACAGGACCGGCGTTATGTCAGCTGGTCACACAGACCTGACACAGGACCAGCGTTATGTCAGCTGGTCACACAGACCTGACACAGGACCGTCGTTACGTCAGCTGGTCACACAGACCTGACACAGGACCGTCGTTACGTCAGACCTGACACAGGACCGGCGTTAAATCAGCTGGTCACACAGACCTGACACAGGACCGGCGTTACCGTTAGCTGGTCACACAGACCTGACACATAAACGGTGTTACATCAGCTGGTCAAACAGGCCTGATACAAGATCGGTGTGACGTTAGCTGGTCACACAGACCTGACACAGGACCGGCCTTACCGCTGGCTGGTATTACGTCCATCGTACGAGCGGGCTTGGTAGCTAAGTCTGCCGAATCGATTCGTATGAGTCCTCCGTTTAGAATGGAAACCCTGACCACCCGTGTTACGGACTGCAATTCACGCTATGGGTCCACGAGTGAATCGATGTCATGCAACACTCGTTGAATGTCTTTGCAAGAGTGATGCGACGGCGGGAGTGGTTCACGCAGCGGGCTCATCATTACAGCGGGCTCATCATTACAGCGGCTCAGCATTACAGCGGGGCTCATCATTAAAGCGGGCTCAATCATACAGCGGGCTCATCATTACAGCGGGCTCAGCATTAACAGCGGGCTCATCATTACAGAGCGGGCTCATCATTACAGCGGGCTCATCATTACAGCGGCTCATCATTACAGCGGGCTCATCATTACAGCGGGCTCATCATTACAGCGGGCTCATCATTACAGCGGGCTCATCATTACAGCGGGCTCATCATTACAGCGGGCTCATCATTACAGCGGGCTCATCATTACAGCGGGCTCATCATTACGCGGGCTCATCATTAACGCTCATTACAGCGGGCTCATCATTACAGCGGCTCATCCACCGATCTGTTCCCAGACAGCGGAGGAAACGAGCACCTTGAACTATTTTGGCCTGATATTCGCTTAAAATCTGCACGTCTTAAGTCGTCCACATGTTGTAGCGATTCGTGCATGGTCCCAGCGTTTACAAGGAGAAACTACTGTTCACTTTGTAAAAACGTGGACACCTGGGCAGCGTGCATGTTAACTGTACCGTGCTCTGCCGGGTAGCTGTCGGCTTGTCAGCTGTGCCAGCAGCATTTCTGTCCGGGACTTCTTCAGACAAGCTGTGCTAGCTGTGCGAGCAGCATTTCTGTCCAAGGCTTCTTCAGACAAGCTGTGCTCGTCTTAGCTGTGTTAGCTGTGCCAGCAGCATCTCTGTCCGAGGTTTCTTCAGACAAGCTGTGCTCGTCTTAGCTGTGTTAGCTGTGCCAGCAGCATTTCTGTCCGAGGCTTCTTCAGACAAGCTGTGCTCGTCTTAGCTGTGTTAGCTGTGCCAGCAGCATTTCTGTCCGGGGTTTCTTCAGACAAGCTGTGCTCGTCTTAGCTGTGTTAGCTGTGCGAGCAGCATCTCTGTCCGAGGCTTCTTCAGACAAGCTGTGCTCGTCTTAGCTGTGTTAGCTGTGCATGCAGTATTTCTGTCCGAGGCTTCTTCAGACAAGCTGTGCTCGTCTTAGCTGTGTTAGCTGTGCAGGGCAGTATTTCTGTCCGAGGCTTCTTCAGACAAGCTGTGCTCGTCTTAGCTGTGTTAGCTGTGCAGGCAGTATTCTGTTTCACCGTGCCAACACTCCTGGGACGAGGGGTCTTCCTGGACGTCATAGTACGCTATTGGCCGGCTGGGGTACGCGCCTCCTCCACACTGGGAGATGGTCGGCGGATGGCAGGAGATCGGGGAACCGTCGGTGGGCTGGTCTGGCAGGGCACGCGTCGCTGCTGGAGTACTCTCCACCCCAAACTTAGGCTGTCCCCATTTATAGCCACTAGAGGAGGCTGCGTAGGACATATCCCCTCCAAAGATCACGAAGTGTTATTCTGTTTTTTCAGTTGTGCCCGTGGAATGTACGTTTTTTTCTAAAATCGTGCCCATGGAATGTACGTTTTTATAAAATAAATAGGAGACAACCTGACATGAAAGTAACATTCTGAGCGTGACAGTGTTAACAATGTGCATTCCGCGGGCACAATAGAACAAATACAATGACACTTCGTTATCTTTTGAGGGGATATGTCCTACGCAGCCTGCCCCCAGTGGCTATAAATGGCGATACGTTGAGTTTGGGTGGGGAAGAAATCCAGCAGCCACGCATGCCCTGCCAGGCCAGCCCAGCCACGCTTACCCGATCACCTGTTACCACCCGATCATCTCCCTCTGTGCAGAAGACGCGTAACCCAACCGACACGTACCCAGCGGGTACGATAACACTGATTCGTCCCCTAACTCTCAGAAACGTGGCTACATCCGTGTTGTTGATGGGATTTTATCTTAGTGTTAGCCATTACGCGAAGCACGCAGGAGGCGAGGGCTGCAATTTCTGAATCCTGCAATCTGTTCTGAATATTACCTTTGCTGTTCATGTTTTTTTTTCTTGGGTGTGTTAATCGATGGCCCAGGATTTGCGTGCGGAAAATTCCACTACCTTTAACTCAAGCACCCCATACTGTCGCGATCCTTAGCACACAGTATCGTACAAACTCCGACAAGTGCATACTTCCGCTATCTCTCGACGGCAAACTCAAATACGCTTGGCCCCTCTTTGGTTGTCCTTTATCACACGGTGACGGTGGCAACATCTTTTAGCGCCGTGGGAAACTCCCGGACGCTGTACGGATAACAGCAGAATCCTACTCACCCGGACGCCGCACAACCGTAATCCCCTTTCTTTCGCATCTCCCTTGTGATTGGTCGCTGGCCGTTCCCCCGCCAACCAATCCGCACCGCGCTTCTCTGCCACCGATTTCTTTCCGTGCCTGCACTGGCTGCTGATTGGGCAACGGGCGATGGGAGGCGGAGTCCACCGGTCGGCCGTACGGTCAATAAATAACTGCACGGGAGAAAGGCCGTCTTTATTTAGTGCCGTGCAGTGAACAGGAGCGCGTTCTTCTGCGCACGATCGCGACACAAAGCGCGGTTGACCGACGCCACCACGTCAACAACGCACGGCCAGTGTCCGCCACAGCCGGCCATTTGTGACACGCTACAATCGCCGCTCTCTGGCGACCGCCGCGCACCGCCGCCGCTCGTGAGCCGCACGATTGTCGCGCGCCGCCATGGCTTCTGCGCCAACGGAGGAGGCCACCGACGACGGCGACAAGGGCATCTACGAGGCCGTCTCCAAGGTGCTGGAGGGGTATGACTGGACCCTAGTGCCCATGCTCAACAGGTAGGTGGCGGCCGCGACCGAGGCCCGTCGTCGCGCGCTGTTTTCTGTTCTGTTGTGCGGCAGCACGTGCCGTATTCTGCTGTGCTGTGCTGTGCTGTACTGGTCCTCCTGTTTCTCGCGCTGGGGCAGGCTGTGATGTAGGCGTGACATTTGGGCCCTGATAGGTAGGCGATGGGTGACCGCCCGTCCCCGTACCCTCCAGTAGAGCCGGGCGCGGTCAGGACCATTCACCAAATGGTACCAGGGCCATTAGCAATTTTTTCGCGTCCAGCCTGATTTTGGTGCAATCTTATATTGTGAAACGATTAAAATAGCTCAACGTGCCGACCGCTTCCCGTGGCTCTCACCCCCGTGGACCTCGTGTAATGCAGTTGTGTGGGCTCGGGTCCGTTGGACGTTCTGCTATCCTCGGATGTGTTTCAGTATTGTAAGATATGCTTTTTGTTGAGCTGTATCCTGTTCTGAGTATTGTCCCTGTTGAATCCCGTTCTGCTGTGCTGGGACGGCTCTGCGCTGAGCTGTATTACGCTGTGCTGAGTCGTGCTCCGCTGCACTGAGCGGTGTTCCGCTGTGCTGAGCTGTGTTCCGCTATGCGAACACCAGAGGCGCTGTGTGGCGCTGACACCCTACACCTGTGCATGCTCCTCTGCTCCCTCTGACGTGTACGTCACTGGCCTGTGCGCTGCCATGGACCGTCAGGTGTCACCAACGACAGCTCTCTCAAACCCGCTGATCTACTGCGCGCTTGGGTGCCGCTGAGGTGCCGCTGGGGTGCCGCTGAGGTGCCGCTGTAGTGTCCGCTGAGGTGCCGCTGGGGTGCCGCCGGGGTGCCGCTGGGGTGCCGCTGGGGTGCCACTGGGGTGCCGCCGGGGTGCCACTGGGATGCCGCTGGGGTGCCGCTGAGGTGCCGCTGGGGTGCCACTGGGTGCCGCCGGGGTGCCGCTGGGGTGTCACTGGGGGGCCACTGGGGGGCCGCTGGGGTGCCGCTGAGGTGCCGCTGGGGTGCCACTGGGGTGCCACTGGGGTGCCGCCGGGGTGCCGCCACGACTGTGTAACTGTCCTCTCTCTGTTGCGTGTTGTGGCGTGATGGGCTCTGCTAGGCTCGCCTGGTGTCTGAAGAGCTCCGGCAGCTTCGGGTACTGGGCAATATTCACTCGATTCGTGGGCCAACAGTATGAGCAAACATGTGATTTGTGCGTCTTGTGTGAGTTGCGCTGGAACGGACTGGGTTATCGATGGTCATGAATATGCCCTATCATAAACGAAGCCCGGGTTTGTTCCACATTTTTCTTTATGCGAGAAACGTGAGATAGGTCAAGCCACGGAGCGCCAGCCATTCATTGCCTGTTTTTAACTGAACTAGAGACTGGATAATCATGACAAGCTGTCGAGTTACGCATGTCCACAGTTGCGGCGATTCCTTTGAAGCGGTTGGCATGTTTGTTGTTGGTGGCCGTTCATTCTCTTGGTTATGATACACTTCCAGAGTTTCGGGCTTGACATGTGTAAATGGGGTCTCAAACCACTAGGATGTATTACTTCGTGCCCACCCTTTTCGTCCCCATCTCGAAGCCCAGACTTCTATATCCCCTTCCTTGAAACAGCAAAGGGCTGGTGGGAATGAGAACATCACAGCAGCCCGGAGAAGCCCGAGCTCCCCACACAGTACACATGCAGTTCAGACACATTATTCTGCAGGTTAAACCCCTTCAGCTGCATGATTTCCTTCACGCGGGTGACGTGGTACGGGGTGTTCCGTTGAAGCACACCGCGCTTCGCAGGCTGATGTTGATCGATTTGGTGATGCTGACGTCGATATGCGTCGGCTAGGTAGACGCATGTCTGTTGTCAGTGTCGTTCCAACCGAACGCATGCTGTCACCACTGCCAGACAAGAGGAACACAGGCAATTTATGTGAGAGTGGTTGCACCACACATTTCGTTGGGATCCGTCGCGTGATGCCACTGTGGTTTCATATGGACCATGACAAGGACCATAGACTCGCCTCCGACCAGTCTGTGGTCCTTGACATGGTCTTAGGGTGGGCGACTTCGGTATTCGCTTACCTCGGTCGGCATGTTATGTCGTGGTGTGAACAAGCCATGCCGCCGAATCAACAGCGATTGAGGAACAAGCCGGAGACCTCGAAAACAGAGCACCATTGGACCCCGGTCGTGACTGCTGTCAGTTGTCCGCCGCCTGCTGTCCTCTGTCCACTGCCCACTGCCCGTTGTCCTCTGTCCTCTGTCCACTGCCCGTCGTCCTCTGTCCTCTGCCCACTGCCCGTCGTCCTCTGTCCACTGCCCGCTGCCCGTCGTCCTCTGTCCTCTGTCCACTGCCCGTCGTCCTCTGTCCTCTGCCCACTGCCCGTTGTCCTCTGTCCTCTGTCCACTGCCCGTCGTCCTCTGTCCTCTGCCCACTGCCCGTCGTCCTCTGTCCACTGCCCACAGCCCGTTGTCCTCTGTCCTCTGTCCACTGCCCGTCGTCCTCTGTCATCTGTCCACTGCCCGTCGTCCTCTGTCCTCTGCCCACTCCCCGTTATGCGCTGTTTGCTGTTCACTGTCGTTGTCCGCAGTCCTCTGTCCACTTCCAGTCACCTGCTGTCCGTTGTTCAATGTCCGTTGTTCGCTGTCTGCTGACAACTTCCCGTCGTCCGCTGTCCGTCGTCCACTGCTCGTTGTCCACTGTCCGTTGACCGTTGTCTTCTAGCCTCTGTTAACGCTACTGAAATCGGATGTTAGCAGTTTCAAAATGTTGTCAAAGCTGACAGCAATCCACGTGCTGAAGCTGTGACCGAATGCTGCCAGACCTGGTTCATCCCCCAAATATTAACCGAAGGCTAAGATACACATAGACAGGCTGCTTGCATTTGGAAATTTTAAAAGTCCATGAAACTAAGGCCGCTGCAATCGTTTCTATGTTCCTTTATGGCATACGCTGTTGAAAAAAAATCGAACGCATGGCAAAAAAAAACCCACACCACCACTCATTCAAGGAGATTTTAGCTATTCTGAACAGTAAAGGCCCAGCACAGGTTGCTGGTGAAATTTATTTTATTTAAAGCCGTGATGTACAGCTTCTTTTTGATTATGAATGCACGCATGGTTTTTCTGGTGTTGGCATTGCTTGTTAATCCTCTTGTAAAGACTACCGAGCACAGAACCAGACAATGGTTTGCACGTAGCAGTGATTGAAATTTGGATAAGCATCTTAAATTTCTGAGGTGCACAACGAATGCAATTCTTGAGGCGAATGTGTCCATCTTAACAGAGCAAGCTTCCTACCATCCAAAAATAGATCAGGAAGATATATATCAACTCCATTGAGAATAATGAGAGCAGTTAGTGGAAATAGCTGGGTATATTTGGAGGAAATACAGCAGACAATGACGTTTAGAATATATAAACGGCACGCCTAGATATTGGTTAATTTTCCAATTTTCCATATCAACTTCTGGGGACTGCTTACTTCTTGTTCTTGGGGACTTCTTGTTCATACTGACTCCATAACATTGTTAACAATATCAAGCCTGGTGTTATGCCACAGAAAACATGATGGGCTGTGGCAACAATCAATTAACTAGGACAAAGTTTGCTGCATGATGTCGTCAGGACTTGTTTAAGGGGTTGAATTTGCTCAAAAAGTTCTTCCCAAACTGAAAAGGCGCTTCCAAGTTTCATCATCTCTTGGATGTAACACGAAACCCGTGCATCATTGCAATATATCTGAGTTTTGTAACACATATCACAGAGAAAAACATGTCTTGCATTTATGTTATGCATTGTCTGCGAATATCGCTGCCATTTGTCAAGAATCAAACTGGCCTACACATGCAATTTTGCCGACCACATTTTTGGGCCTAGTTGACGTGACGTGCGGCACCCTCTCTAGCTGCGCGTGAAACGAGCCGGGCTGTCTGCTCTGTACCTCGCCCCCGAGCCAGTGAGCTAGAATCACTTTTGAGCTAAGGTGGGAGTGAAAAATTCCATTGCGAAAAGACCATACAGGAGGGAAAAATTCAAGTCACAAAAGTTGGGACTCAGAGTCAGTGGAGAGATGCTTAGGCAAGCAACGGCATTCATTTCACTCTGGCATGGGCGTAATATCAAAAACATGGCAGTTTTTCCATCATACGTCATTACACTGACACAGAATACATTAAGGGATAATAATTTTATGAAAGTGTAATGAGAACTCAAAGCCATTCAACACCACTGGACATGCCTTGATGCTGTACTTTGTACTTCCTTTCCACAGGATTTTTAATACAAAACAACACTCCTGCACATGAACACATCACCGAATCAAGCAAACAACAGACATGCTTTGGTTTCTGTTAATATGGGGTCAGAAATACAAATACTATGACGCTGTTTCTTGCAAAACACGTCTGTCACTTCGATGACAGTAACCTAACTCAGCCTAACCTAAAGAAGCCTTACCTCATATCATCTTGTCCAACCTATTTGTATCACAGCAACATTTGTGAGTCACTGACCCTTGCAAAATTCCTACTGCTACTTACCATGCAAGTAACCAACCTAACCTAAATCATAGTAGCCCATTTAGTGAATATCATCTTAACTCATCTCATCTGTTTCTTGACAGCAGCAGTTGTGATAGAAACATGATAAAGCTTATTTTTGGCTAGTCTTAACTCGCGTTTTGGTCGAGTTCGTATGTGTCCGCTTGTTAACGTCAGAAAAAAAGGCGACAACACACAAATCAAAACCGAGGAGCCAACTGAGAGGGCAGGAATGTTCGCTAGCTATTTAAATCACTTTGAATAACTCATTCGGGTGTCACGGTTAGGCTCCGTCAAGGGTAATTGTGGGTATACTTCACAGCACAATCTCTCCTCCAAACGTGGCATAACTTGTAGATAGCCACAAAACCAAATCTACTTGCGCTTTCAACCGCAGCAAAAGCATTCATTTGGGTTTGGTTAGTCACATTTAATGACTAAAAGGCTGAGATGCTGGCTTCACACTCAAGATGGC